AGTCTCCTTAAAGGTTGGCGTCCAGCGCATCCCGAGAACCCCGCCACATTCCGATATGCACGGCTTTGTTAAAAAACCAACAACAAAAAAATTATGCCTGGCGTTGGAGGCGCACGCTTTTAATCCCAGCACTCCCGAGACAGAGAGGTAGGCGATCTCTGACTTCAAGGCCAGCCTGGTCTACTTAGCGAGTTCCAGGACAGTTAAGGCTGTACACAGAGAAACCCTGTCTTGAAAAACCAAAACAAAACAAAAGTCACCAAATTTGAATTTAAAAAAATCCTCATCGTTAATCCTATCCAGAAAGACTACTAATTACGAATAATTCTCAGCGCAGCAAAAATGGGTTTAATTCAATATTCTTGGAAAAGGGAGGCAGGCGGGCAGGGTGCAGAAGCCAATTGTTGACCCTGCATTCACTAGCTGCTGGTCTGCAAGTGGCCAATGTCCACTGGAGTTGCTCAAGCCATGTGATCCCAGTACTCTGGGTGAAGCAGAACCATTTGAAGCCAGCCTAGGCTAGACTGAGAAACTAAAACAAAACTAAAAACTTTTAAAGCAGCTTCATCTGCAGGTCTTTATTATTTTTTTCTAATGGTTCTGACAGCTCTCTACATTGGCCCCGTGCTGTGGCCTAATATAAAATTCCAAACTTACTTAAAACATGTGGGGTTGCTTTTGCTTATAAAAAAAAATCAAAAAACTTGCCGGGCGGTGGTGGCACACACCTTTAATCCCAGCACTCCGGAGGCAGAGGCAGGCGGATCTCTGTGAGTTTGAGGCCATCCTGGTCTACAAGAGCTAGTTCCAGGACAGGCTCCAAAACTACAGAGAAACCCTGCCTCGAAAATAAACAATCAAACAAAACAAAAACTCTCGATTTCATATTTTCAAGTGTGAACTTTGTTGATGAACGTTGATGTCAAAAGGCCATGTGCTTGCCCTTCTCTCTGGGTGGAGAACCCCCAACAACCTCCCTGAGCTGTGTGAATGGCGGAGACTACCCAGGCCAAAGTCACAGGCAATGCAGAGGACTGAAAACAATCAACACTTTGAAGCTGGAACAGCAGGTCCTTACCAGGGCTAAGAGCCTGTTTGGTGGCCTATGTTTCTAGTTCTAACCAAGTCCAAATGACTCCACGAAAAAAAAAATGTTCATGGAAATTAATTGAAATACATACCCGTCTTTCTTAACTGCGGTTCTCTACTTTAGGGTCTTACCAAGGAAAAGACTTGTACAAAGGAAAAGTACTTTAGGAGTCAAATAGTTAAGAGCACTTGCTTCTCTTGCAAAGGGACTAAGTCCGTTTCCAGCTCACACAGCCTGTAAGACTAGTTCCAAGGGACCTGACGGCTCATACTCATAAATTAAAAATCAATCACTAAATCTTTTTAAAGTATTTTTACCAGTGCTGGGCGTGGAAGCACACACCTTACTGAAATGTGTGGGAGACAGAACCAAGTGTATCCGTGAATTCTAGGCCAGCCAGAGCTCTATGAGAACCTAAGTCTACGTAAGTATTTTACCAGCATCTTGGTTGTTTTAAAGATTCTCCCAGGATAAAAGCTCACCTTGCAGTTACCGTTTTGTGATGTGATCTGTTTTAAGTCAGGCTAGTCGACAGAACAGAGACTCAGTGGCTGTCCAGCCACAGGACGCAGGCCCAGGTCTCAGGCTGTCGGACGTGGAAAGGCCTGCAGTTAGAAGGACGCTACTGAGGGACAGCTGCAGAGTATCGCTGAATCCACCGCCAGAAACAGAAGTCTCCAGCAAGTAGATAAAAACGTAATTCAAAGCCTCTCAGTAACAAAACAGGGAATAAACAATACTTAAGAATGTTTCTAGCAAGACAGCGCCCCCAGCTCCCCCTCCCAACACGAGGGATGCAGAGCAAGGCAGATCTCTGAGTTTGAGGCTAACTTGATCTAAAGAAAAACTGTCTTGGTGGTGGAGTTTGAGGCCAGCCTGTTCTACAGAGCTAGTTCCAGGACTCGCTCCAAAGCTACAGAGAAATCCTGTCTCAAAAGACAATGTTTTCAGGTAGCTATGGTGGTATAATCCTTTGATCCCAACAGTAGGAAGAGTTCGAAGCCAGCCTGGTCTACCAAGAGTCCCAGGACAGAGGGTTCTGTTAAACAGAAAATCCCTGTCTCAAAATAGAAAGTTCTGAATCACAACCCCTCACTAAATTGACTTATTACTTAATAACTTTACTGAAAACTTCTATGGTTCTATTATTTTCCTTAAAGGAAGCAATGTTTGTTTTCAGACAGTCTCACTCTGGAACCCAGGCTGGCCTTGAACTGTGGCAATTCTTCAGCAGGCTCCACCTCCTAAATGCTGGGACTACAGGCACCAAGTTGTTAGTGTCGTAAGACAAAGCCAATGTTCATACTGGTGTTGCATTTATCTGAGAATTTGGGAGGCAGAGGCAGAAAATCTGAGTTCAAAGGTCAGCCTGCTCTACTTAAATTGACACTCACTGTTCCCTCCCCTCAAAAAAAAAAAAAAAAAGACAAAACCACAAATTTCAGTTTCCTGTAGTTAAAAACACTCCAGTATTTTCCATCTCTCCAGACGCAGAGAGATGGAATTATTAAATTATTTAAATTTTCTCAATATATAACCATAATCATGGAATCATTACTTAGCATTATATCTAACTGGACAAAAATACATTTCAGAATCATCCACAAACAAAACTTATTAAAAGATTACTTAGGGGAAACCCAAAACTAGGGATTAAAAAAAAAAGAAAAAAGAAACCTATGTAAGAATTAAGATAATCCAGGAAAATGCTTGGGCTCTCATTCTAGAAAAACCCATGTCCACGCCACAGTTCTGAGAGCACTTTATAACACTCAACTATAGGCAAAAACTCTGAACTCAACCTGCAACTCAAAAGGTAAATTGGAGCCAATCCAGATCTCTTTTTGATTCTGAAAAGAGGAGTTTTTGTTTTATTTAATGCAACAAGAGTTTCTGTGTGGCCTCGGACATCCTGGACATCTGGACACCAGGCGGGTCTCAAACTGAGATCTGGCCTGCCCTGCCTCCCAAGGGCTGGGATTACAGGCGTGACTCACCACTACCCTCCTTGGGAAGATGAGTTTTCCTAGTGCCTGTTGTCACAACTAAGTCTGAGTAACCTTCCCGCCACTTCTGTTTTTGAAGACCTTTGAAACAGTTTACGGTATTACTGGAGCGTGAACATCAAACACTGAAGCTAATCATTATTAACAACTCTTCGATTTATTCAAAGCAATTCAGTGTCAAAACTTAAGTTACAGCAGTCAGAAAAAAAAGTCAGAACACACAATCAGTTTGCCTGTCCTTGTGTTTAACACTGCGGTGGCTTTATTCAAAATACAGTCGCACAAAAGCAGTAATTTCAGTCTCTAAGGACTTAACATACTGTGTACACACGCAGTACAGAGCGTTAAAACCAAACTCAGAACTACAGAACAGAGAGCCCACCCTCGCTCATTTGCATGAAAATACCACCCACAAAGCTAAATAAGTATTAATAGTTATTTGGAGGCCCTAGTCATTTGTTTTTAAACCCAAGAACTCTAATTTTGATTGCACAATAGATGATTGATTAAAAAAAGTCAATATATAGATTTCCTTTTTAAAAATAAGCATTTATTTTGAACCTGGCACAGTGTGCCAAAAGAATTGTTAGGGGCTGGAAGCAGGTGTCCAATGAATGAAACGAGGAAATGTTAGTCCTTGGAGATCCCAGTACCGGCATGGAATCTATCACACATTTATTTCAGATATGCAACTTTGTTAGCTTCTCTGCAAATATTTTCATACTTATTATTTTAAAACATCATGTCAAACATCTTAAATTAAAAGAGCAACAGTCCACTATTATGAACAATTTCTGTGTCCTGGTAGAGGCAAAGAATTTCAGTTAATTTGCTGATAGTAACTTTAAAAAAATATACAAAAGGAAAACAAAAATCAGTGACCAAGATTTAAAAACAAAATCGCCTTGAACATGGAGTCCCTGGGACAAAAGAAAAGGGACCTGTCTACTCCCGTTTACTTAGTAGCCATGAAGTAGCACATTCGTTTACTCCAAATGTTTTTGTTGTTGATAGGCATCCACCTGAAATAAAGCCCAACTTCAATAATGATTTTCACACAGTCCTCCAACTGCCGTTATATTCCAATCAAATGCTATATTTGATCACACTTTCAAACTATAGGAAGAATAATTAAAGGTTCCACTCAGAAATATAATAAATACTTCACAGCGTTGGCATCCGAATCACCTAGGAAAACAACTTAGTAATTAGACTTGAAGGCATTATTAGTTATCAGCAGGTCTGGCCTCTGAGAAAGGAGAATGCTTTAGCCCGACACGGCCTCGTGTGTTTTCAACAGTAAGCAAAGCCTGTCTCCTCACACACCTAGTGCTCAGCACTGCATCAACTAATATGGCATCTCTTCCATGCCACATGTCTGAAACCAGACAGATGGCTGACACTTTCCTGGGTGTCCACAACTTTGCCAACTTTCTTTTGGATATGAAGAGGAATGAAGCAATGGAGGGTAAGGGTAGACAGCAGCTGGAGACAGCGCACACCTGAACCAGCAACCTGCTGGCACAGCAGCACCCACAGCAGGGCTCTCCGTAACAGTAAGAGCCTTAACTGTATCCACAGCCACGGTGCTGAAGAGAACCCTCTCACTGTGCGTCTACTTCCCAAACTGTGTCAGGAAAGCTCTCACACCACCCGGCCCCCAAAACTGTGACAGGAAAGCTCTCACACCACCCGGCCCCCAAAACTGTGACAGGAAAGCTCTCACACCACCCGGCCCCCAAAACTGCCTTCAAGCTATTGATTTCTGATTCATCTCTTAAAAAAAAACCAATCAGCTTTATCACTCAAGAGACTTGCCATTTCATATTACAGCTGAGTGTATTCTGTTAATTTATAAATAACTTTAAAACATTATGAATGAAATGCACCGAACTACACCTGTGTAAAAGCAACCATGTTTTAATTATGAGCTAAAAATGTCTAATACATTAAGCATGAATTATAAAAATCCAGAATCTAAACACAGTGCTAGAGAATTTCACAACGGGAAGATGAAATTTTTTTCTACATACGTTATGATTAACAGACGAGCAGATCTCAGTCGGAATGGTAAGGCCAGATAGTAAAACCACACGTTCCTATAAAAGCTGCACATCACCTAGGGACAGCTATCACACACGAAGAAACGGAGACGCGGCTGCTCTGCTGCGCCAGGAGCCTCAGCCGGGAGGGCTACTCATCGTCCTCCTCTCCCTCATCCTCAGCGTCTCGCTTCCTCTTCTCTCCCCGCACACCCTCTTCTTCTACAACGGAAGTACATAGGATCATCTCAACAAAGGAATTTTTGTTAAGTTACAAAGCTTTCAATCTCAGTAAAAAAATAAATGGCAAGAGAAAATTCTCGATTGTTTCACTCTAAAACGTCGTCCAATTTCAGAGTCTAAGCGAACTTGAGAGAACCTGGCAAACCTCATGGACAAACGCAGGGTGAGGATTCTAAGTGCTTGGCATCAGTGTGCCTCATGTAAACACCCATCTAAGGGCTGGGGAAAGAAGAAACTAAAGGGCCTCTGGGGTCAGCCATTCCTCTCTGGACTGAGGTACCAGGCTCTGCAAAATGAGATTCCAGAGTGCAATAAAGTGAACAAAGCTTTTGTTTTTGTTTCTTTGTGTATCCTCGGCTGTCCTGGAACTCCCTATGTAGACCAGGTTGTCCTGAAACTGAGATCCACCTGCCTCTGCTTCCCACGTGCTGGGACTAAGGCCTCTGTCACTGTGCCTGGCTTTTATTTCCATTTCTTAAGTACAAGTAACAAGCTGGCTTTTTGTTTTGTTTTACTGAAATTAAAGTTTTTTTCAAACACTTCTCTACTCCTCAAGGCACATTATGATAACAAAACCAAAAGGACCAGGAGCGATCCCATGAAGACTCAGTCCTCAACAACCCACCCCACGTGTTATCTTTAGATTCAGAATTGCTTAAGACCGAAGCAGCTTACCCTCTTCTTCCTCTTCCTCCCCTTCATCAACATAATCGTCATCATCTTCTTCATCCTTCAAATTCAAAAATTGAGTGTGAGAAGAAATGAACCATGACTTGGGCATTTACTGTTTAACATATCCCAACAAGAGCAAAGAAATTATAGTTCACTGTGTTCTGGAAAGGACAGTTTCTGCCAGCTTTGCTTTTGAACATAACTAAGCATCTACATTTTTAAAAACATAGGCTACGCTTTAGACTAACACCGTTCGCGAAAACTTTCTCCAGCAACACAAATGTTCTCTGTGTTGTGCTGTGAAGGACCGCACATGTGCTAGTGAGCGCTCAAACGTAACAGCACAAGTGTGGGAGATGCATCTGAGTTTTGTATATTTTTAACTACTTGTTTGCTTGAGACAAGGTCTCAGGATGTAGCCCAGGCTAACCTCTAATTCTCGACGCGTGGTACACATTCCAGTACTGGTTCTGCCTCTCAGGAATGGGGATTGCAGCACATATCACTTTGGACAGCTTACTTTTAAACAGCCATGTCTGCCCACCATAACAGAAGCAGGTCTTGACGATTTTAAAAATAAGGTACTCTACTTTACAGACTGAGACATAGATGATATGAACCCCAACACCAAATACCATCATACGGTAAGTAAATAAATGTATTTCACTAGACCTGTTTTCCAATTAATAAAAAGCAAAATGAACCAAAAATCTGAAATCCAAAATGTTCCAAAACTCTGAAAATTTGAGCATCAACAAAATGTAGAAAATGCCAGGTGACCTCGCCTGCACCTTCAGTCAAACTACAAGTATAATAAAGACACGGTATAACACCAGACACAATGGTGCATGCCTTGAGGCAGAGGCAGGAAGAGCAAGTTCAAGGTCAGCCTGACATGGTTGGTAACATGACCATTGTAATCATCCTATGTTATGCATTCATGCTTGCATGTACATGATCACATATGTGTGGGTTCATATGTATGCACATAGGCATTATGAGTCTAAAGGATAGCCCTGGTATTGTTCCTAACACTTACAATCTGATATGGGGCCCCTTATCGGACTAAACCTGCCACCACGTAGCCTGTACTGGCCCAGAGATTCACCTCTCCAGTTCTCCTAGGCTGGGATTATAATCACATGCCACCATGCAGTTTTATTTTGGTTTTAGAAATACTATTCCAGCCAGGCGGTGGTAGCGCACGCCTTTAATCCCAGCACTTGGGAGGCAGAGGCAGGTGGATCTCTGTGAGATCAAGGCCAGCCTGGTCTACAAGAGCTAGTTCCAGGACAGGCACCAAAGCTACAGAGAAACCTTGTCTCAATAAAGAAAAGAAAAGAAAAGAAAAAAGAAAAGAAAAAAAAAAAACAAATTTAGGTCCTTATACTGTTAAGGTACCCACTTTACCAACTGAGTCATCTGCCCGGCCCCTTGATCTTTTTAAAATTTTATTTACTTTTATTTTATGTGCATTGGTGTGAGGGTGTCAGATCCCCTGGAACTGGAGTTACAGACAGCTGTGAGCCACCATGTGGTTCCTGGAAATTGAACTCAGGTCCTCTGGAAGAACAGCCAGTGCTCTTAATCACTGAGCCATTCCTCCAGCCCAATATCTGTTTTTTTTTAAAAAAATAAAAGACTATGTCTGACCATGAACATTCTAACCATTAGTATATGCTAATTTCCTCAGGCTTAATATATGTAAGATGGTTTTCTCCTATCTAAAACATGTATTATTGTTGTGTGTACATACTACTGTGCCATGGAACATGTGTGGAGGCGAGCAGACAACTCGGGAGTCAGTCCTCTCCTTCCACCTCTCCGTAGGTTCCAGGGATTGAACTCAGGCCCCAGGCCTGCATAGCAAGTGCCTTTACCAGTGAAGTCATCACTGGCCCATTCTCTGCTTTTTAAAATAACTCTGGCCTCCAACTGAGTTCTCTTTTTCTAGTTTTTACACCCTCTCTTCTACTGTCAGTCACTCTTTTAATTTTATGCTGCCATAGACTCACAACAGAGCATCAGACGTGATCATGCAAGACACAACGTTCAATTTCAGCACTGAATGAACACTCCCCGACACAAACAGGCTCGGAGACTTTCATTACTTATATTTTGACTGCTTGGAGCCTTCTGCACTTACTGCTGTGATCTTAGCTATGCTACAAATATCTAAGCACCAGACAGATTTGGTATTACTAAATATCTAAAAAAACAACCAGCTGAGTCTCTCTCCATCTTGCGACTACACAAGCTTACTGCTCCTCAGGTATGTATTACATTATATACAATATATTATATTCTGCACAGCAGAGCAATGTGTGGTGGTGCATACACGCAGCTCTGTAGGTAGGATGACTGTAAGTTCAAGGCCAGCCTGGGCTACAGAGCTAGACTATCTCAAACCCATCTGAGGGGATGGGCTGGGGAGACGGCAGCACACTATGAAGACCTGAGCTCAGACTCCCGAGTGCCACATAAAAGGTGACATAATGGTGAATGCCTACACTCATGGCACAGGGGAAGCATAAGCAGTCAGATCCCGCCGGGGCCTGCTGGCCAGCCAGTCTTGCTAAGTTCCAAGTTCAGCACAAAATGTAAGCAGTGAATGTTTAGTACTTAAAAGTGCTGAAAGGCTGGGTATAGTGGCACATCTTTAGCCCCAGTGCGTGGGAGGCAGAGGTAGGCCTTGAATTCATCTCAGAGGTGAGTTCAAGGACAGTCCAGTCTACCTAATGAATTCTAGGACACCCAGGGTTACAGAGAGAGAAAACCCATCTTAAAAAAACAAACAAGCAAACAAAAACAAAAAACAAATCCAACCAGGAGCAGAGATTAGATTCCCGGACCCACATAAAGCTGGTTACAGTAGCATCCATCTGTAGTCCCTGGTTTTCCTACTGGAGAGATGAGAGATGGCAGAGAGAACCCCCCTCAGTGTGTGGGTCAGCAAGCATGGCAAACACAGGAGTGCAAACATAGGAGTAAACAGAGACTCAGACGGAAGCTGAGGATGGATAACGGAAGTTGTCCTGTGACCTCTGCATGCATGTCATAGCCCACACACCTGTGAACACTCACAAAAACAGAAACATGCATACAACACACATACACACACTTTAAAAAAAAAAAAAAGAGGGGCTGAAGAGATGGCTTAAAGTTAAGAGCACTGGCTGTTCCTCCAGAGGTTCTGAGTTCAATTCCCAGCAACCACATGGTGGCTCACAACCATCTGTAATGAGATCTGGTGCCCCCTTCTGGCCAGCAGGCATACATGCAGGCAGAACACTGTACATAATACATAAAAGAAAAAAAATTTAAAAACAAATCAATAGGGGCTGGAGAGATGGCTCAGTGGTTAAAAGCATTGCCTGCTCTTCCAAAGGTCCTGAGTTCAATTCCCAGCAACCACATGATGGCTCACAACCATCTGTAATGAGGTCTGGTGCCCTCTTCTGGCCTGCAGGCATATACACAGACAGAATATTATATACATAATAAGTAAATAAATATTTAAAAAACAAAAAACATACAAACAAACAAACCAAAAAAAAAAAAAAACCAAATCAATAGTCAAGGCAGTAGCGGCACACGCCTTTAACTCCAGCAGAAGCAAAGGAACTCAGTTTGGTCTACAGGGAGAGTTCCAGGACAATTAGGGCTGCTACACAGAGAAACCCTGTCTTGAAAAGTCAAACAAACAAACAAACAAAACTGAAGACAGAAAAGGCAGTGAGACGCGGTTCCCGCACCCTAGACTGGTTTACGCCTCACAACCCAGCAGAGAATGAGCCTGATTTCATTTCCTGAGTTCTGGGTTCCCAGACCTCGTCTTCAAACTGTCAGCTGAAACAGTGCACAGCATCACCTCCCAGGGAACCAGTCTCCTACGGCACCAAAGGGACAGATGGGGCAGGAAATTCCACGAAACGGACCTTAAGAAAAACCAGGGACTCTGTTCTCTTAAACTAAAGGAAATGAAAAGGGGAAGAAAGTATGGAGAGGGACAGGAAGCGAAAGGAGGGGAAAGGAAAAGCAGGAGAAAAAGACACAAAAAAGGAAGTGGGAAGGGGTAGAAGGGACAAGAAAAGGGAGGGGAGGGAGAGGAAGAGTGAGGACAGAAAAGGGAAAGAGGAAAGGAAGTGGAGGAGGCATTTAAATATCTTAAAGATGCAAAAATAATAGTCATCTGTAATTTTAAAAAAACACTTGACAGACTAGTCACACATATTGATGTTTTAGGAAAGCACAGATATGAAGCACTGTCTATCTGAATTTGTTTAAACAAAATTTACTCAGTCAGATGTTTTGTTGTTGCTGCTGTTTTGTTTGTTTTTTGCTTTTGTTTTTTCAGTCTGAAAGTTTTAAGGCATTTTAAAAGTCATCCTTTGATATCTCAATAAAGTTTCAGCATTTAGCAGAAAGTCACTCACTGTTGTGATGACCTTTGCCCTGTTAGTGGGAACTGTTTCCTGACTTACGTATGAACAGTATGACATACACCCCAATATTCCTAAAGAACAAAAAGTCCTTTATACATATTAATCCCTTTCCTCTGAAGAACAGCCAAAATGGGAAGAAATAGAAGGCTCAAATAAAAAACAGCTAATCAGAGTCTAGGGACTGTAACTCGATTGGGACGATGCTTGCCTAGCATGCAAGAAGCCTTTGTTAGATTCCTGGCACCACATAAACCCAGTTGTGGTCAGGACAGGGCTCGGGAGGCAGAGGCCGGAGGATCTTTGAGTTCCAGGACCACGCAGAAAAGCCCTGCCTCAAAAACAAGCTAACGAACATAAACAAATAAAGATGCAATGCAATGTGCCAGGTGTAATGGACAAGCCCACAATCCCAGCCCTCACAAAGCTTAGGCAGGATGACCGTTAGTTCAAAGGCAGTCTAAGTTACATCGTAAGACCCCATCTTAAAAGGCAAAAATAACCACCTGGAAGGAGGACCTGGGTGCTGCTCCTAGCACTTACATTGTGGCTCACAAATACCTGTAATTCCAGCTCCAAGGAATCCCACGCCCTCTTTGGACTCTGTGGTCACCACTCACACAGGTGGTACACAGACAAACATGCACGCAAAATACTCATAAATAATAAAAATACTTTTTAAAGGAAAAACACAATGCATAATCAAATATGCCATTTCCTTCTCATTTATTTTGAGTATCAGTGGCCTCTGGTGCACACCAGCGCTGAGATCCTAAAAACAAGAACTCTGGGCTTGTTTGTTCTGAGACAAGGTTTCTCTGTAGCCTAGGCTATCCTGGGGTACACTAGGTAGCCTATGATATCATTAAACTCCTACAGTCCTGCTGCCTCACCTTCCCAGAGTGATGGTCATGAGCTACCCCACACCTAGCTAAGCCAAAACTTCATTTTTGAACCCCTAAACAGTCCCATCCAGAATGAAAATGCTTCCTGGCCTTGCACTAACTCAATGCTATGTATATTTCAGAGATTTCTTTTTTAAAAAATATTTATTTGTTTATTTATTATGTATAAAATATTCTGTCTGTGTGTATGCCTGCAGGCCAAAAAGGGCACCAGACCCCATCACAGATGGTTGTGAGCCACCATGTGGTTGCTGAGAATTGAACTCAGGACCTTTGGAAGAGCAGACAACGCTCTTAACCTCTGAGCCATCTCTCCAGCCCCTGTTTCAGAGATTTCTAATCTATGTTTGGCTATATCATTTTGAGTTAATATTCCCCAGCATTCAGTGTAAGTCATCCCACAGTTGGCTGAAAGTAACTTTTAAGGCAGGAGTAAATGTCTGTGCGATCCCAGCACTCAGCACTAAGGGGACGGCAACCATTTCAGCGGCAGCATGGTTCTAAGGCCAGCCTGGGGTGCAGAATAAAAATATACCCAACTGATGCGGGAGAATTGTCTGTATTCTGTCAATCATATTTTAATAAAACGCTGACTGGCCAGGCAGGCAGTATAGGTGGGAAAACCAGACAGGAAGTAGAGGTGATGCAATGAGAACAGGAGAATTCTGGGAAGCAGGGAGGTTCCTCTGCCACTCCTGCGCAGATCACTGAAGAAGCAACATGTAAGCTGCCCCTGCTGGAAAAGGTACTGAGCCATTATGGCTAACATAGATAATGATAATGGATTAATATAAGTTACAAGGACTAATAAGAAGCCTGACCTAATGGGCCAATCAGTTTATAATCTTATGGAGTCCTGTGTGTGATTTTCTTTGGGACTTGCCGACTTGTTGGGGTGCCGGGCGGGACAGAAACCCCAACAAGTCGGCCCCTCATGTTACACCCAACACACACTTCAAAATGTACTTTTTTTTTTTTGTCTTTTGAAACATCTTTGTGTATCTTTGGCTGTCTTGGAACTTGCTCTGTAGACCAGGCTGGCCTCAACTCACAGAAATTCACCTGCCTCTGCCTTCCAAGTGCTGGGTGGGATTAAATCCCTGCGCCACCACCCTCCGGCTCGAAAGATAAAGAGACCAATTTGGGCTGTAGAGATGGCTCAGAGGTTAAGAAAGATAACTTTTAAAGTACTTCCTACTTACACTTAAGAGTATATCTATTACTGACAGAGAAAATACAAGGCCAAATGCAAATAAAACGAAACCAGGAGACTCTTATTTTACCAAATAAGCAAACATGAGAAACAGCCAGGCTATCCTCTGCTGGTGTAAACCACAAAGGCTCCCTATAAATTAAGATGCTTAAACAAGTTTCATTCTTCATGCCCGTGTATTTTCTGACTACCAAAGCCCCAAACAAGTATAAGGCCTCGTTTTTGTACATTCATTTCAAATTTAAAAATAGTATCAGGAGGGTTGGAGAGATGGCTCAGAGGTTAAGAGCATTACCTGCTCTTAACTCTTAGTTTAACTCTTAGTCCTGAGTTCAATTCCTGGCAACCACATGGTGGCTCACAACCATTTGTAATGAGGTCTGGTGCCCTCTTCTGGCCTGCAGGCATACCCGCAGACAGAATATTGTATATATAATAAATAAACAAATAATTTTAAAAAAATAATACCAGGAAAAAAATAAGAACCATTCACCAGATATTGTCTACATAACCATCATTACCTAAAGAAAAACCACAGCTAATGAGGCATGCTTTGGTGGCAGCCGGGACATTACAGCACTCAAGAAGGCCCATGTACGCATAATATAAGGGGCACTGAGATGTCACTGAGGCCAAGTTCCAGGACAGCCAGGGACACATACACACAGAAACCTGGTCTTTAAAATAAAAAGGATGAGGAGGAGAAATGCAGCTGTAAGATGCAGGGTCCCAAGCTCTGCAGGAAGACATCTCGGGCTCTGAAGTGTCTGTCACGTGTCAACCAGGGTACAGACTCAAACACTGACAAATGTTTCCACCACCCCATGCCACTGAGGGCAGAATCAATTTGAGGAACACCTGGGAGATAAAAAGCAACAAGCAATGGAGTCCTTGTAGAACCACCGTGAGATTCAGCTAAGCCTACACCTTTCTGAGGTCCAAGTCAGAAAAGGCAACTTTGCCTTTTCTCTTTTTGGATGCTGGCCAGAACGAATAAGCTTTTTCTGATAATTCGGGTTTCCATACTCCTTCTCTGAAGACCCCTTCCCTGCCACGTGACTGCTTGTCCAACATGTGTCTGACCTCTGCACCAGCTTTTACACCATGGTGTTTGGTTTGGTTTTCTTCTCCCGTCCATTATCCTCTGGCAGCTGCTGAGACTTACAGCTTTCCTACCCTGGGAATTTTTAATAAAACTGTCCTTTAGCTACAAAGCAAAAATAAAACCAACAAGTGTCCATGGTTGTCATACACTATGGAGCACCCAGCAGGAAGCTGAGAGAGAAGACGGACAGATCTTACCAACTCACGACTCACTCACTCTACAGCACTCTGCCTGTGCCCAAACCATCGTCAGTGCAAACACCAAGTTTCCAATCACCTGAATTTCTTCTTTCATTAAGTATGAGAGGCCCACCTCCTCTTCTCCCTCTCCCACTTCTGAACCTGCTTCATCCTCATCTTCATCCTCCTCTTCCTCCTCCTCTTCATATCCTTCAGGAGGACCAGCTTCATCCTCCTCCTCGTCTTCCTCATCTTCATCTCCATCTTTAAGAGACATTTGGAAAAATAAGCAAGTGGCCGGTCAAAAGCTTCTGCCTGGCATGCAGGCCCTCCCCACTCTGCCCAATTATCAACACCGTCAGCCAATGGGGGAGGGGATTTCAAGGTGCTCCCACTCCTTCTTTAAAGAAATAAATTCTGGGGCTGGAGAGATGGCTCAGAGGTTAAGAGCACTAGCTGATCTTTCGGAGGTCCTGAGTTCAATTCCCAGCAACTACATGGTGGCTCACAACCATCTGTAATGAGATCTGGTGCCCTCTTCTGGCCTGCAGGCATACAAGGAGGCTGAACATTGTGTACACAATAAATAAATCTTGAAAGAGAGAAAGAGAAGAGAGAAAGAGAGAAAGAGAGAAAGAGAGAGAGAGAGAGAGAGAGAGAGAGAGAGAGAGAGAAAGAGAGAAAGAGAGAAAGAGAGAAAGAGAGAAAGAAAGAAAGAAAGAAAGAAAGAAAGAAAGAAAGAAATTCTGGCCAGGCAATGGGGGCACACGCCTTTAGTCCCAGTACTCAGGAGGCAGACAGAAGTGGATCTCTTGAGTTCAAGAACAGCCTGGTCTATACAGTGAGTTCCAGGACAGCCAGGGCAACACAGAGAAACCCTGTCTGAAAACAAAACAAAAATCAGGGAAAAAACAAACAAAACCCCCAAACCTTCTGTTTCATAGCACTGTTACTAATCACCTGAGAAGTACCTTTTCTAGGACTGGGGACGCGGTCCAGCATGTACCTGTCATTGACTCCACCCCCAGCACCACAAAGGACAAGCATCTTCCTTAACCCAGGTAATTACTGAAGTAGATTTTCATCCATTATATGGCATTGAAGTTGGTTTTACTTTGTAGCCACTTCAAAGCTTGCTTGTTGCCAAGCAAGGTGGTGCACACCTTTAATCCCAGCACTAACAAGCAGATGCAGGTGGACCTCTGAATTTGAGGCCAATCTGATCAACACAGTTCCAGAATAGCTGGAGTTATGTCTGAAAAAGAAGAAACCATTACCCTCCTCGTCCTCCTCTTCCGAGTCCGGGGCCTCATTGTCCTCCTGGTCGAAGCCATCTAAGTAGGTGATCTGCTGCAACAGCTCAAAAATGCTTTCTCGGTAGTCCTCCAGGTTTGTGATCTCACAGTTAAACAAGTCGAGACTTTTCAAATTCTTAAGATTTTGCTGAAAAAGTAAAGTTAAAGGTTACAATCAAGATTTTAAACACTATGTTCTTCAATTTTAATGAAAGATCTGAAAAACACACACGAAGTTAAAGAATGTTTCTTGCATTTTTAATGCTTTGTAAGGGTCATTCTACCAAGCACAGCCAGCTCTCGGGGTCTGTCACCACGTGCCTCCAGCGTCTTTTCTTACAGCTTGGTTTCTTTTTTTTAAAAATATTTATTTATTTATTATGTATACAATAGTCTGTCTGCGTGTATATCTGAAGGCCAGAAGAGGGCACCAGACCTCATTACAGACGGTTGTGAGCCACCATGTGGTTGCTGGGAATTGAACTCAGGACCTTTGGAAGAGCAGGCAATGCTCTTAATCGCTGAGCCATCTCTCCAGCCCCTACAGCTTGGTTTCTTGAGCGTGTCTATAAGGCATTTTTGCTGACAGAATCTGTGCAGAAAGAGGCAGCAGCATGCCAAGCGCGGTGGTACACAGCCCGCAGGAGGCCAGAGCTGAAGGCCAACTGGGTCCACGAAGACCACGCCTCTCCAAAGAGCAACACGTGGCACAACCATGACAGTCACCTTAACCAGCACCCACACTTGGTTCCAATAGTTTAACCTCACACCATTTTACTTTGAGACCTAAAGACAGGTCTCACTCTGCAGCCTAAACTGGTCCTGAGCTCTCTATTTCTAAATCCCAAGACTGGGATTCCAGACAGGTACCACCACAACAAGCCCAACACTCTGAAAAACCTAAGGACAGTCGGGATCTCGAGACAGAGTTTTGCTGTTAAACCAGGCTGGCCTGATGGAGGAAGGTCATCTGTCTACGTGTTACTTTTATTAGTTAATAAAGAAACTGCTTTGGCCTTTGATAGGACAGAAAATTAGGTACGTGGAGTAAACAGAACAGAATGCTGGGAGGAAGAAGGCAATGAGGCAGTCGCCATGACTCTCCTCTCTGAGACAGCCGCAGGTTAGAATCTTCCGGGTAAGCCACCACCTTGTGGTGCTACACAGATTACTAGAAATGGGTTAGATCAATATGTAAGAGTTAGCCAATAAGAAGCTACAGATAATGGGCCAGGCAGTGTTTAAAAGAATACAGATTCCATGTAATTATTTTGGGTAAAGCTAGCCGGGAGCCAGGTGGCGGGACACAGCCCTCCGCTCCTTCTACTACACTGGCCTTAAACTAGAGAGGCTTAAAGGTGAGCGCCACCGCTGCCTAGCTTGAGGTCTCTGTCTTTAAGAATGAGTCTAAGTCTGCACCTGCAGCCCAGGCTCCAACTTGGGGTCACCCTTCCTGTGCCTCAGTGCTGAGAGCCAAGACCAGCTGGGCAATTTAGTTAAAGAAAAACAGCTATCTTAATTTGGGAGGCAGAGGCAGGTGGATCACTGTGAGTTCAAAGTCAGCCTGTTCTACAAGAGCTAGTTCCAGGACAACCAGGGCTATTACACAGGGAAAAAACAAGGAAAAAAGAAAGAAAGAAAAAGAACAACTATCTGAATCATAAGAAGTATCTCAGAAAACTCCAGACCTAAATAGAGATCAATAAAATAGAGTATGAACAAACCTCAGATAAATCAACCTAAAATTAATCCCAAAATCAAGTCCAGAGACAATCATTTCACTTACCAGAGCTTCTACTGTACTGAGATCTTTGATTTTGTTTCCGCTCAGATTGAGGTAGGTAAGATTTGGACATTTCTCTGCCAGGACTTCCAAGCCTCCAGATATTATATTGTCGCTAAGTTCCAACTACATATTCCACATGGAGAGAAAACACAGAAGGATGCATCCTGAGAACCTTTAAGCGCACATCAGTTTGAAGAGCCCCTCGTCACTCTCTCTGCTCTCGTCAGTTCTCGTCTACCCAGAGATCAGAACCCTGTGCAGCACCTCATCTGTGGCTCCAGTGTGTTAACTCGGATTTTCCAGCAAGTGGCAGCGGGAGATATTAAATCCAATTTTGTGTCATAAAACAATTCTAATTTGGCTGGGTGATGGTGGCATACGCTTTTAATCCCAGCACTCAGAAGGCAGAGGTGGATCTCTCCGAGCTCAAGGCCAGCCTGATCTACAAAGCAAGTTCCAGGACAAATTTCAAAGCTACACAGAGAAACCTTGTCTTGGGGAGAAAAAAAAAATTCTAATTTTAATTTCAAAGCAATACTAGAACTAATTCTTTTTTTAAAAAATATTTATTTATTATATTTATTCATTATGGATACAATATTCTGTCTGTGTGTATGCCTGCAGGCCAGAAGAGGGCACCAGACCCCATTACAGATAGTTGTGAGTCACCATGTGGTTGCTGGGAATTGAACTCAGGACCTTTGGAAGAGCAGGCAATGCTTTTAAACCACTGAGCCATCTCTCCAGCCCCTGGAACTAATTCTTACAGTCCTGTTCTTTCTTCTCTCTCGGTTTTTAGAGGCGATCTCTCTGTGCATCCCTAATTGTACTGAAATTCACTTTGTAGACCAGGTTGGCCTTGAACTCAGTTATCTGCCCACCACTGCCTCCTGAGCTGAGATAAAAGGCCTGTGTCACCACTGCCCAGCTCTTTTGTTTTCTTTTTCATTGTTTATTTTTATTTTATGTGCATTGGTATTTTGCCTGCACGTGTCTGTGCGATGATGCTGGATACCTGGGAACTGGAGTCACAGAGAGCTGTGACTGGGAAGTGAACCCAGGTCCTCTGGAAGAGCAGCCAGTTCTCTTGACCACTGAGCCGTCTCTCCAGGCTCCTTCCCTTCTCTTATCCCTAGAAACTTAAAGATTTCTTATTGCTGGTGAAACAGTCATTTTGCTTGAGCGAGACCTTGATATACACCTCAGCATAAAAACCATGGTGTCCTCGAACTACTCCCAACTCACCTTTCGAAGTTTATTTAAGCTGGGAAGCCGGGCCAAGGAACTCAATTCCACGTTGGCCATACTAAGAAACTCCAGTTCTTTAAAGGTGTCATTGAGGCCTTCGATTTCCCCATTTACACACAAGCAATTATCAAGGACTAACTCTGTCACCTGTTAGAAGAAACATAATTGATAATTAGTTTGCACAGCAACAGACCTGTGTCTGAGCACTCTAAACACATGAATATTAAAATCTTAGTCCCAGCACTCCAGAGGAGGCCAAGTCAGACGGATCTCTGTGAGTTCCAAGCCAACCGGGTCTACATAGTGAGTTCCATAACAACCAAAGCTACAGAACAGAGAAAGATCCTGTTTAAAACAGACCACCAAACCGACACATCAGCCCCTACACCGGGTGCACGGCATGAAGCCGGAGTCTCAGCTACTTAGGAGAGAAGGGGGAAAGGCCACTTGAGCCTTGGAGTCTGTAACCAGCCTGGGAACACAGCATCAGGCTTAATACAGCAATCAATCCCTTACATATTATCTTCTCCTCACCCATGTTCCTGTAAGCAACCCGAATGCAACTCACTGAGTCACTTAAAAAAAAAAAAAGATTTGAAGGCATTGGAGATTAGCTGGGAAGAAGGGGATCGGGAGGTGGAGGGACAAGGAAGGGTAAGGAGTGACCGTGATTACAGCACACTATATGCACATATATGAAAAGTAGGGAATACTATGTAATTAACATGTACGAATAAATCTTGTACGATATATGAGGCTGGAGAGATGGCTCAGAGATTAAGAGCATTGACTGCTTTTCTGGAGGTTCAGACTTCAATTCCCAGCAACCACATGGTGGCTCACAACCATCTGTAATGAGATCTGGTGCCCTCTTCTGGTGTGTGGGTATACATGCTGTATATATAACAAATAAAAAATCTTTAAGAAAAAATTTTGTACGCTTTAGCTATCACCGTAGGCAGCCCTTCACAACTGAACCTGGTCTAACAAGTGCAGTGCCCGCTCCGAATCACTGGGGCGGACAACCAGCGGAAGAAGGGCCTGATGAAATGTGTGTCAGCAAGGGCCTCACCACCCCGACCTGCTCCTCCACAGCGACGGACTCCTGGCTACGGCAGGAAGTGTCTAACACTTTCAGGTTAAGCCTCTGTATCTTTGGCTACAGATGCCAGTGGAATTCCAACTTTGTTACCCTTTAGGAAGTAATGTCAGAAACCTTTGGGGTGTCAACCGAAGGCAAACGGTATCACACAAAACAGTATTCTCGACAAAATATCCTTTCTCCCTTTGATGCTCAAGCAGTTCTATGGACTTTCCCATTCTGGGAGAGAGGGGGGCTGAGTTTCCTTGTTTAGTTTGCTTTGTTTTATGCACATGCTGTTTTTGCCTGCATGAATATCTATTTGTACATCCTAGGCATGCAGTACCCACGAAAGCTAGAAAATAGCCGCTGGATCCCTGGGACAGCCGCCATGTGGGTTCTGGGAATTCAAATCTGGTCCCCCAATACCAGCCAGTGCTCTTAATCCCTGAGCCATCTCTCCAGCCCAGAACTGGATTTCTCATTAGATCTGAGTTGTAGAAAGAACAGCCAGCTCATTTATTTATTTCCATCTGATGTATACAGGTGTTTTTCCTGGGCATGTGTACCACATGTGTACCCAGTGCCTTCCGAAGGCAGAAGAGCCACCATGTGAGCTCGGGCAAGAACAAGTGCCCATCACTCCAGTCCCAGATCTGAGTCACATTACCCAAACCAATGATGTGCCTCACTAGATCTAAACCCAGACCCCATTCTCTGACACCAGTAAAAGTGTTTACTTAAATCAGGAGCAGCAAATGCCATCCTCTCTACTTGAGTGGAGCTTTGACATCTCTATCTATCCATTATCTATCTGTCTGTCTGTCTGTCTTATTTTGGTTTCGAGGCCAGGAAGCAAAGGTACATAAAAAACGGCTAGCATTAATTAGGTCACACCATTAATGTATGGTGGGATGTCCTGACTCTTAAGTCTTTGTGTGTGTGTGTGTGTGTGTGTGTGTGTGTGTGTGTGTGTGTAAAACCCTGGCTGTCCAGGACATCTGTAGACCAGGCTGGCCTTGAACTCAAAGATCTGCCTGCCTGTGCCTCTGAGCTCTGAGATTAAAGGAGTGCTGGAACCAAGGACCCACACAACCACCACCCAGTTCAATTGTTTTTAAGATAGTGTCTCACTATTTAGTCCTGGCTGGCCAGGAACTTGCTTTGTAGATCCGGTAAACCTCAAACTCAAGAGACCCATCGGCCTCGGCCTCCCAAATGCCAGGATTACATGCCGGGATTAAGAGCTCAGCAAGATGGTTTGTAAATCTGGTTCCGAAACCCAGTTCTTTCACTAAAACAAGCAGCTTCACTGCCTTGAGGCTCCTGTTTGCTAATTTGGATTCTAAAACAATACAACCCGGTTTACAAGTTTTCTCAAGGAGAAAGTAAATAAACAGGACGCTTTATAAACTGTCCATGTAGTGGACGGTGGTTAATCCTAGCATTTAGGAGGCAGAGGCAGGTGTACTTCTGAGTTAGAGGCCAGCCTGGTCTACAGAACAAGTTTCAGGACAGCCAGAGCTACATGGAGAAGCCCTGTCTTAAAAAGCCAAAAACATAAATGAAAATAAACTATCTATATACACCCATTACTACACCACAGCATCGTGCAGCAATCCTCCCAATTGGGAGGTGAGAGAGTGGGGGAAAGGCCCATGTTTGTACCCTAAAGCGTCTGAGAAACTGCTTGTTTGCCTTGTCTGACAGAGTCCCACTTGCAGCCATCCTCGTACCTCGGCCTCCAAGGGCTGGGAATTACAGATATACAGAATTACAGATATTAATCACCACGTCCCGCTGATGACAGCATTTCAACTTTGAGTTATTCTAGAATCTTCTAATGAGCTGTAAAAAACTTCTATTCGCCCAGAGATAACCCTTACAGCAACAATGTTTCCTCCACCTCGCTCTCGGCTGAAGTCGGAGCAACCCGCAAACGGGATACTGAAAAGAACAGGGCTCAGGCACGGGTGGTAACCGCGAAGGCCGGGCAGACCGGCACCTTTGCTCGGGTGTCATGGGACCACCGTAGCGCGGTTCCCTTGTCCCTCGACTTCACGCTGCCGGGAACCAGCGAGCCCCGGGCGCCGTCCCCGCCCGCCGCGGCCCAAGCTTCAGGCCCGTGAACCTGGCGGGAAGGAAGCGCAAGGGAATCCGACGACCGGGGGCTCGGCGGCGACGCCACCCGGGGCCCCCACTCG